TTCTCTCTCTCTCTCTCTCTCTCTCTCTTTGAGAAGAATTTCATGGAGCTTTTGGAAAAGAAAAAATATATCTAAAACCATCGTGCATAGTCTTGTGAAGACAAAAGAAAGAAAAAAAAAAAATTAAAGAAAAGAGAAGAAAGGAAAAAAGAAAAAAATAAGAAGAAAAAAAAAAAGAAGAAGAAGAAAAGAAAACACAAGGAAAGAAAAGAGCTGCTTTAATCTCGGATTTCGCGAGAAAGTAAGAAGTCGTCGTACTTGCGGATGAAGAAAAGATGGTTGGAAAGAGTGAGAGAAAAAGAAAAAAAATTTTAGAAGGAAAGTAGAGGAAAAAACACAGAGAGAGAGAGAGAGAGAGAGAAAGAAAGAGAGAGAGAGAGAAAGAAAGAGAGAGAGAGAGAGTGAGTGAGTAGGCAAACCGGATAGTTTCTTGTGCTTTCGCATAGATATTAATTATTAAGTACACAAAGAGAGGAAGAAGAACAGAGTAAGAAGAACAATAGCCGAATTACAGTACACTTCCTGAATTTATATGGACGTTTATATTCGTAGCAGCCATTTTAAGGGGTTGGCTCATTTTCTTGCCGGGGCTCAGCGTTTCAACGTGCCCTTTCGCTATACTACAAGAGAGAAAAGTCGAGGATGGTTTTCCCCTCTACTTTTCTCTTTTATTTTTTTTTCTTTTTGATCCTTTTTTATCTTTTTTGTTTTTCCTTTATTTCCTTTTCTTTATTGTTTTTCTTTTTTCTTTTCTTTTTTTGTTTCATCTCGTACGCGACGTCGCTTAATCCGAATACGCGTTGTCGTTACGTATGCCATTACACCCTCGTTACATCTCCATTTTCTTTTTCTTCTCCTTTTTTTTTGTTTTCTCTCCTTTTTTTTTTTTTTTTTTTTTTTTCTTTTAGTACAACAAGATAATTGGTTACCTCAACGAGAGATAATATCTTTGAGATAAAACAAAAATTTATATATATATATACATATATATATATATATATATATATATATATATATAAATCTTTTTTCGTTTAAATATTACATATCATCGAGAGTGATCAATCGAATTTATAAAAGAAAAACGAAGATTAAATAAGGATACAATTTTTCTTTTTTTCTTTTTCATTTCTTTTTTTTTTTTTTTTTTTTTTTTTTTTTAATCTAAAATTACGACAAAGTTGTTGCAAAATCGATCGGGACGATTTGACACAATTCGAGACTTGAAATTCGTACGATAATGATAAGTATCATTCGTTCGTAAATTAAAATCTAAGAAAAATTATTGTTTTTATATAATCAAAACAGAAAAAAAAAAAAACAACTATAAAATTTCTTTCTAACAAAACGATCGATTGTTATAAAATTATCAAATCGTGATCGTCGTGTAATCGGTTTGACGCCATCGTCTACTTTAATACCATGAGGATCGACTGACTTTCTCCATTGAGATGTGAAGAAAAAAGAAGAAAGAAACAAAAAAGAAAAAGAGAAAAAAGAGAGAGAGAGAGAAAGAGAGAGAGAGAGAGAGAGAGAGAGAGAGAGAGAGGGAAGGAAAAAAAAAAGGAGAAATAATTGTTGTTCATTAAGTCCATTTAAAAGGATGGATCACAGGGAAAAATTCCTTTTTAATTCCTCTTAATCCACTGTAAAGGTTTGCACAGATTGCGATAGAAAGCTCTTTACGGTTCTTTAAACAAGCGTTCGAAAGAGAGTGTTTTATGTGAGTGACGAACGAAAGAGAAAGAGATAGAAATAGAGATAAACATAGAGAGATAGAAAGAGATAGATATATATATATATACATATATACAGAGAGTGAGAGAGAGAGAGAGAGAGAAAAAGGGAAAGGAAATTCTAACGAGCGTGTGCAGTCTGGTAGTGGGTATATACTCGGTTCGCGGTTAGTGGTAAGGGTTGGAGGGGTAAGGGAGGTAGAAGTGAGAGGAGAGGGCGGGGGTCGATAGAGCTTGCAGAGCACGGTAAGCTCCGTTCTAAATTAATTACTAAACAATGCCGTGCCTGCACACTAACACGATCGTATTACTACTACACTACACTAACACACACCACCATTTTAGTCCGTCGTCTCTATCGTTGTCGTCGTCTTTATTAAACGAACGCGTGCACTTTTTACTTAACATATTTTTATCCTATGCATTTGATGATGTGCAACGCGTTAACGTTGCTTGACCCTCCGGTCCTCCAACCAGACAAAATCCCCTTTAGCAATCTTTTTCCAATATTATTTTTCAATCTTCTTATTCATCTGTTTATTCTTTTCTATTGTTTTTCTTTTTTTTTGTTTTGTTTTGTTTTGTTCTATTTTTTATTTATTTTCTTTTCTTTTTTTTTTTTTTAATCTTATCTTATCTTTCCTACATTCTCATCTTCGTCTTTCAAAGAAGAATATCTACTTGTTCGAAAAAGAATATATATATATATATATATATATATATATATATATAACTCAAGAGAACATCTAACAGGAATATCTTGTACCTTGGTTCACATATACTAAGGGAGAAGTAGTCGTCGAGGCTTTCACGGCGATTGCTTTTTCGGCGTCGTTTGTCAGTCGCGATGCCGAGAGCAGGGTGAAAAATCATTTGACCGTGGCGAATTCGTAGCTAGAAGAAAACCTTTTTCTCTTACCATCCTTCAGAATCTTTTGAAGCAATCCTCCTCCTCCACCTTCTCCTCCTCCTCTTCCACCTTCTCCTCCTTCAACTCCGCCGTTTCCCTCTCTCTATCACCCGTCTTCAGAACCCCTCACACCTACCACTTCTTCACCTACCTCTATCTCCATCAACCCTCATCCCACCTCCCATCCTATCTCATCCCCACCTCCCAACCCCAAAATCGTTCTTCTTAACACATTGAAAAGAAGATGAAAACGAAATGCTTGAAATTCTTCGATTTATTCGGAATAAGTTGACACTATGGATATAAGTATACGATCTATGAAAAATCACGCCCAAACGCACATAACTCTCTCTCTTTCTCTCTCTCTCTCTCTCTCTGTTTGTATGTATGTGTGTGTTGTCTACGTAAACTCTTTTATCTTTCTCATTCATCGAGAAAAATATCGAATTTACGTTGGAAATTTTTAGTGATATGGAAGACGTTCGAGATATATATAGGAAGATAGATAGATAGAAAGAGAAAGAGAAAGAGAGAGAGAGAGAGAGAGATACGTTGGAAAGTAAAGGGTAAAGGGAGGAAGGACTTATGGGGGGGGTGATGGAGGGAGGAGTGCATATACACGTATATACGTACATATGTCTCTCGAACGTGAAAAGAATTTATTTTACCAAAATACTCGTAAACGTGGCAAACGGTAAATCCTTGAATTTAAGAGTCAATTTAAGATACCTTCCCTCTTATTCCGGCCATTAAGCAAGTAAAGCTTCACTAGATTATTTACGTCCTTCGAGAGAATAGCGAATGAATGAGTGAATGAGTGAACGAGCGAGGTATAGTATAAAGTAAGGATTAGAAAGAGAGAGAAGGATTCCCTAAGGAATCGGTGTCCGTTTCATGGAAGTTGTAGAGAAACTATTACTACTACTACTACTACTACAACTACTACTACTACTACTATTACTACCGTCACTACCATTCACCATCACCACTACCAACATTATAACCACATGGGGAAAGTAGTTCGGCAATTCCTTGAGACTTCTCGTGACTCTGACAATGTGTCTCATGGAAATTCGTACCCTTTAAACGTCAATCTTTTATATAAAAATTATTTCGACGACATTTATAACCTTTTACTCTATTTACATTATAAAAGTAATAACGATTATTAATTCAATCGACGATTATTATCTGTTTGTTTTCTTTTTCTCTTTTTATTTATTTGTTTATTTTTTCTTTTTTCTTTTTTTTTTTTTTTTTTTTTTTGAAATCATTCACGATATCTCTCCTTAAGAAAATTTTAAATGTCGATATTTATTTTTTTAATTATTTTAATCGATGCTATTGAACAACATATGTATATATACATATATCACATCATATATTTATTTATTTATATATATATATATATATATATATATATATATATGTTTGTATATGTATATAAACATACATTGATGTTCTATACATCTCTCTCTCTTTCTTTCTGTTTCTCTTTCTCTCTTACACACATACACACATTCACACACACACATATATACTCTATCCCTAGCTCGTTTTCGTTGCCGCAGGGATCGTTCATAAATCATGAGAACGTTAATTATAAGGTAACGCGCAGACGTGGATGTTTGGATTAACTTGCCGCCTGGAGCCAAATGGCTGACATCGCGTACGAAACGCGTATGACAACGTTAGAATGTTAAAACGACGACCTCGAGTAACGAAGGATTCTGTCTGTCGATAATAACTCGTGTCATGGCAAACATAATATGGTGGATGATAATACGATCTCTCTTTACTTATTGATGATTTTTCACTAATTGATAATAATTTTTACAAATTGTCTTTTTTTTTTTCACCGATTTAATTAATTTAATTTTATTAAATTTAAATATTCATTGATAGTCATTGGACTAATCATTGGACTAGTCATTGGACTAATAATGTCCAAACATTATCTTGCATTATTTGAGAGAAAAGAAAAAAAAAAAAAAAGAAAAAAAAAAGAGAAAAGAAATAAAAAGATTATCTCGAAGCATCGATTATTATTATTTTCATTAACGTTACATTACCGGTGATACGATTTATTTTTAATCTTTCTTTTAATCTTATATATATATATATATATATATATATATATATATATATATATATATATAAGATTATTAGCGAGCCAAAAAATTGACTTTAAGAAGTTCATTAGAAAATGATTAGATTATAAAATAAAGAAAAGCGAATGAACGAACAAGCTAAAAGCAAGGCAAGAAACAAACAAAAAAGATATTAAAATAATAATAATAATAATAATAATAATTAGCTATTAGAAATATTAGATATAGTATGATTGTAATACTGACTTTAGATGTGTTGGCCTCATCATTTGTAGGGCTACTGACCGCGTTGTTGCTGTGCGCCTGCTGATCCGTTTTTAATTCACGATGATTGCTGAACTGTACGTAAACGGCTCTGCCTCTAAGTTGTGCTATGCACGAGGCATAATACGTGACCATCGTTGCAGCCGCACTCTCGTCAGCCATTTCAAGGAATGC